TTGTTTTAAAGACAATGTAGAAACTTGCAAGACAACCATTTAAATAATGCTGTCTTTTGAGTCACACATTATGCTAGTCATACTATTCAATAAAATAGGTCACAACGAAGTCTAAATGCGGTGTAAGGTCAAGACACACCAACGTCGTCAATAAAGGGGATGGTGGTCCGGATTAGGAGCCGCCAGCCACGGACGAGCAGGCGATGGCGGTCAGGGAACAGCACCGTAACCAGTGTATCGTTATAGTGGTTGTCGAGTCTGACTTCAACAAGTCCAATCAGAGTCCGCTGCTTATCTCTATTTCAAATCTTTACGATGTCATTGGATTCAAGCGAGAATGAGCAGTTTTTTTAACCCAATCTGATCAATCAGCAGCGAGTATGTCGCTTTTTTAAAAGGAAAAATGCCAATTCGGGACCGGTCCTAATAGTCTTTTCTAGTTTTGCTTGTATCTTTTGTTCTAGGACAATCATAACGACACAAGAGGATCAAATCAAAAACTGTCGATTTGATCGTTTTTTCTGGCTATATCTGAAACATCTAACTAACGCTTAACCCTTTAAGCCCGGTATTCTGTATTATACAGAATAAGTAATATGACAGTTGGAAGTGTGCTTACATACACGAATGGCGACAGAAATTCCCCGCATATGAGAGTTTGTATGGGGGGCATTTTATCATTGGGGCTCGGAGAGGGGGAGATAAACAGGCATAACCCCTCAGGTATATACCATACAGTATATAAATTGGCTGGAGGTGTCAAAATGCTATCTGCATCTCCACCCTCCACCACACACTGGTCCCCATCATTTCGCGAATATCGTCTACGATGACAGAGTGGATTGACCCGAAAGCGTTCCAGCGACTGTGGCGCTCTCTCACCAAGGCCGGATGGAAAGCAGGAGCGCCGTCAGGACTGGACTCGGAGCACACCTATGTGAAGCCAGGAGTGAAGGGTCGGCTTCCTACGGGCAAGGCTGGAGTGGAGTACTTCAAAGGTGCGTTTTATAAACTATAAATGTGAATCGCTCTTCGATAACATTGGCTGTACTAGGATCAAGGGCATTGTGGGCGTTCGAGAAGCAAGAGGGGCTGATACCATTTCCGCCCTCCCCATCTTGGAGCGCTATACACATCAGACGGCCGCCCAAGGGAAAGCGGGCTGCATATGCAGCCGCACAGAAGCAAATGTCCTCGCAATCCCGGTCTTCTCGTGCTGTGGAAAGCGCAATGGGGGCGGATACAGAACAAGGCGGTGCCGTGGAGATCACTATGGTGGACGATACAGAACAAGGCGATGCCGTGGAGAGCGCTGTGGTGGTGGATACAGAACAAGGCGGTGCCGTGGATGACACGATGGCGTCAGATACAGAACAAGCTGATGGTACTGTGGCGTCAGATATAGAGCAAGATGGCGACGTGAGTGGAACTGCGACGGTTCCTACACAACAAGGTCGTGGCATGGTCGCGAATAATACCACCAGTCTGGATGTGTTCGATTCCCCGCACTTTATCGATGCAATGAGAACGGAGAGACTGTTCGGACCTCTTGATGCGGACGATGTGAACATAGCTGAACATTACTTGGAACCTCGAGAAGATGTCGAGTCTGTCCGTGATCCTGTAGACACACCTGTGGATCTATCGGATTCATACGAAACCGAGGTGGAATCAGATGACGACTTTGAAGACGACAGCAACGAGTTCGGCCAAGATGATACTGCAATGCGCGCAATGGCTGCTTCAGGTCGGGAGATCTACGATCAAAACCACTGTGGTAAGTCTGTAGCGTTCAGAATACGCTGAGCTGCCTCTTTGTTTGGTTCTAACACTTTTTTTATTCTGAACAATCCGGAGTACAGGCGACCTGCAGATCGATGGAGCAGACGACTTATACAAAGGCACATGGGGGGCCCACCAGGTCTGCTGTAGCCTTCGCTAACTCGCCGTTGGGGATGTTTTTCTACTTTCTCCCCAAGAAACTGTGGTATCACATTGCGAAGGAATCCGATGCGTATCGTATCGAGTGTATACCAAGTGTAGCAGCCGCCCAACATGCGAAGCAGGTTCAAACTCACGCAAAGGACCCGACGAAAACAGTACAACCGCTAGAAACATTGGTGGATAAGATGACGAAGACGAGGTATCAAGGCTCACGAAGTTTTGCCCGTGATGGGTCTGCTGATAGCGCGGTCGTTGTGCCGTCACACGGATGGACTTGACCAGCACTGGCGGACCGAAGAAGATGGAGCGATACCCCGAGGAACATTCAGCAGATACATGTCTCGGGATCGCTTCAGTACCATCATGCGGTACCTCCATTTTCAGAGCTTTTCCGCGGTAGCTGCTTCGAATGACAAGGCTTGGAAGGTGCGACCGGTACTGCAAACACTGGAGAAGACGTTTGGTCGAGAGTATCGACTTGGGGCTCGCATTAGCTTCGACGAAGTCACTATTCCTTACCGAAGTAAGTTCAATCCGGTATACATCAAGGACAAGCCCCATAAATACGGGACGAAGGTGTACATGACCTGCTGTGCGGAATCAGGATATTGCTCTAGGTGCGTGTTCTGTACAATACAAATTAATTGCTCTGTGCCATACAGCATACGATGTGCTAGACATCTTATTCTGTTCGGTACAGAATGGCATGTTCCGTCGGATACAGAATTAGCTGACTATTGTTTTGCTGTTCTGTATGGTCCAGGATTGAAGTCTACATGGGTGCCTCGGCCGGGTCAAAGAACGCGCGGACTCCTGCAGAGCGGAAAGCAGCCAAGGCGAAGGCAAAGGGTGTCGCCCAGAAAGCTGTAATTCGCAACGTCTCCAAGGCTCTGGAAGGACAACAGCGGAAACGCGACTGGTGATTGCGGGTAACTTCTACTCTTCGTGCCCACTTGCGATTGCGCTGCTGGAAAATGGATATTACTATGTCGGTACGCATCGAAGTGATCGTCTCGGGTGGCCAATCGGATTCGCGTTTACGCAGAAAAACAGCCCATGTCGATGCCCCGTGGAACTTATTGAATCGCGCAGTCCAAAGATCACCCAGAACTGATAACCGTGTCCTGGATGGACTCGAAACTTGCGAATCTAATCGCTACCGGCTGTGCAACCACGACAACCATCGTCATCAGAAAGGAGAAGGGTTCTGCTGTATCTCAAGTGGTGCCGTGTCCTCAGTTACTTGCCGAATACCAAAGTGGCATGGGGGGCGTTGACCGCCACGACCAGCTAAGTCTCCAGAGATATTCAATCCAGCGATGTGTTGCCTTCAAGAAGTACTACCGGTAGCTTTTTCTCGGTTTCGTCGACATGGCCATTGTGGACGGCTTCGTCGTGCACAAGATAAAAATGCAGAAAGATGGAAAACCAGTACCAAGCCATGCAGAGTACATGCGTCGCTTGCATGTCGAGCTGTTAGCACTCGCCGCGGCAAGTTTGACCAGTAATAAGCAGGCAGAAGACTTCGCCTCCGTCCCACTGCCTCCACCTGAATACCACTTACAAGAACAAGAAAGAAAATACAAGGACAAGCGACGTCAGCACCTATGCAAGGTTTGTTCGGCTATGGCTTCATCAAAAATCAAAGGGTTTGAGAGCCGTTATTTCTGCGAGGCCTGCGAAGAACTCTATGACGGATACGTACCCC